GCACACTACATGTTCTTCTTTATCACATGATTCAAAACTCAGAAAGTGAAAAGGAGTGCTATTCACTGGCCACGTCCAGACCCCAATATGTTCTGACCATAACCTGGAAACAACCGTCCTGCATGAGTGCTGACGTCTGAGGGAGCCCCAGAGCTGCGCTCGGCTTCCGCCTGCTCCACCCCCAGCAGGAGCTCTCTTTCTGCAATCAGTCAGAACACAGCTATGAGAAGGGTAGAAGCAGAAAGAGGCCTGGCTGGTTGCAGTTTTCCACATGCTCCATCTGTTCACTATCAAAAACTAAGTAATAGGGGCCAGGGAAGATCCTATTTTAACGCAACAGACTTAAAATAAACAACTTCGAGACACTGGAAATTGCACAAGGGCCTACTTATTTTAACCTGCAGGCCAGCTGTAAGTTCTGAAAAAGAGACAAACTCCACTGGGTAGACAGAGAGCAGCACAAATGGCAAACCATAAATCATTTATGTTGACAAGCACTGAATAGATTTCTCATGATAACGTTTTTTATGCCAGATATTCACAGCCCAGCTCCTTTAGGGGTGGTCATGTGACCTACTCTGGCCAATGAGATGAGAAGTCTTTTGGGGAAGCTTCTTTGAGTTTCCTCTCTTATGAAAAACAGAGACAAGCAAAGAGAGGCTTTTTCCCCTCTTCTGTTTTGGGTGCTGTCGTGTGATCAGAGCAGTCATCTTGGATCTGTGAAGCAACAACCTTGAGGTTGGGGGAGCAGAAGGATACAAAGTAACTGGGTGCTTGATGACATCCTGATGCTGCTGAACAATTCTGGAAGCACCTACCTGCAGACTTCTCATTTGTGTGATGATTAAATGTCATCGTTGTTTAAGGCATTTTTAGTTAAATACTCTGTTACTTATAGTTAAACATATCCTAAAAGCTCTAGCAGCAAATACTGTCTGTCTCTAGGCCTCTCTTTATAACATTTTTCTTCTGCTTATCCTTTTTTTTGTATAGATAACTGTACAAACACACACACACACACGTAAAAATATACGACGGTATATAATTTATGCTATAATTATGTAGAATTCAATATATATAGGAAGAGAGAAAAAAGGAGGCGATGAGTACAGTGAAATGTTAAGAGTGGCAATCTTTGGGAAGGGGAAATATGGATGATATAATTTCTTCTATATTCTGCATGTTACAAATTTTCTGTGAAGAAAGACACTAATCTTCAGATGGAAAAAATAAACTGTATTTTCAAGAAATAAAATTTCCATAAGGACAAATTTTTGTAGTAATAGAGGAATTCAACCATGCCAATATCTCACAGAACTTTCATTTGGCTAAAAGCAGAGTATCTGTTACAGCATTACTATACAAAGGATGCTACATAATTTTCTACTCCCCGAAAATAGGAAAATTGGAAATGGGCCTAGTTAATACCAAGAAAAATTAAAAATCAAAGTACTTTCTGTCAAACAAAAACAGCAGGGAATTAGGCTGGATAATCTCCAGGTCTACCATCCGGTGAACTGACAAGGAGAGGTAAAGACATTCCCACAGACATTTCTCTCAGGGTTCTACCAAAACTACCTGGCCATCAGTTAGCAATGTTTAATGCTTTTACATATCAAAAATACACAGCTTTTCTAGGCAAGGCCCTGAGAAATAATTGCACGTACGCAGTAATTTGACCTTGAATTTAAAGGAGTAATTAGGACTGAAACTTCTTATTGTTACTTTTGTTAGTGTGAACAGAGCTTGGATAACAGGAGCATAAATCTCCCCCAAATGACAGCAACGACAGCATGTGATTTATGCACATGGCTCATAATCCCATACATCATTATTCTGGGATATCCTCTGGCAAAATACGAGTTGGGAAGTAGGATTTATTCTCGGGTCTATTTCATTAAGAGAAAAATAAACATGCAAGGGAAAGGACCAAATCTTCTTTCTTTCAAAATTACATTCTTTAACTATAAACATATATTAATTATCTAATATATTTCAGGTAACTGGCTACTAAAAGAAAGACATTATTTGACATAAAAAAAAATCAAAGGATTGAAAAATAAACCAAAAACCTTTCCTATCTAGTTTTGAAGCTGACGCACACATTAAGACAGAGATAATACAAGAAGAGAATATGCGGTAAGATCGAGTGGCGCAGGAGCTCCGTGGAGGCAGAGCTTTACGTTTGCGGGGAGGAAGGGCTCTAATGAGGAGATAGAAATTAAGTGAGCCTTCCTGGAAGGACGGATGGAGGTTGGGCAGGCGATAAGATGCGAGGACACTCCAGGAAGGTCCTTGAATGAACACGGCTCAGACACAGAACATGGGCCATGTTTAGAAGGCAGCGTGCGGACCAACTAAGCTATAGCGAAAGATGCATGTAGGGGAGAGAGATTAGGGAACTGGGAATGGTCACCTTCTAAAGGGAATTCCACGCAACTAAAAAATACTGATTTTATCCTACAGCATGGTCGTTTCCACCTCACGCTCTAAAGTCAGACAAAATCCCAGCTCCTCCATTTAACAGCAGCGTGAACTTTAATTGCTGCATGACTTAAGGCACGTTGATTACTTTCCTTTATTTGCTTTTTTTCTTCCTTCCTTTCTTCCTTTCTTTTTTTTTCCCCCCTCAGTGTGGCTTCACTTTTTTTTTAACTTTTCATCATGAAGATTCTCAAAGATACACACCAGTAAAGAGAACTGGGCCATACATCCCATGTACCCATCACCACTCTCCTTCAACAACCTTCAACCTCTGACCTACCTTGTTTCATCCACACCCTTCCCACTCCCTCCTCACCGTCCTCCTTACCTGTTGCATTAGGCCTGATGGGACTCAGTATCTGGGGAAACCCTATGTGTGGCACCTGTTTAAGGAGTCCCTGCAGGTGGGAGGAGCTAAGAAAGGATGCCTGAGAAGGACCTACGTGAAAGTGGTCTGGCCCGACGCGAGACACTGGGATCTCAACCTGGGTCTCATGCTTTAAAGGGCCTGCTCCCACCCTCCTCTGGCCACTCCCCTTCCCACAGGGAGAGGAGTCCCAAGGAAATGTGCCCACCTGGAGCTTATGCCTCCTTCAATAGGCACTGGTACCTGGAACCTAGGAATTCCCTGCCCAAATGGCTTGAGGCCACTTCCAGGCCATACTCTGACCTCTGTGTGTTTGCTGCTAGTTCCTAGAGGTGGGCAAGGTGGCTGGCTGAGAGCGAGATGTGAGCAGAACTTGGACCCGGGGTTTGAGTCTACACACGTGTATGTAAGGCCCCTCAAAGAGCTGAAAAGGGGGCCGGCTCAGTGGCACAGCGGTTAAGTTCACACATTCTGCTTCGGCGGCCCGGGACTGGCTGTTTTGGATCCTGGGTACAGACATGGCACCACTTGGCAAGCCATCCTGCATCCTGTGGTAGGCATCCCACATATAAAGTAGAGGAAGATGGGCACGGATGTTAGCTCAGGGCCAGTCTTCCTCAGCAAAAAGAGGAAGATTGGCAGCAGATGTTAGCTCAGGGCTAATCTTCCTCAAAAAAAAAAAAAAAAGCTGAAAGGGAGAGTAGTAGTGGAAAGAAAGGCCCCCTCCTTGTTCTGCAGAACAAGACTTCCCATCTGGAGCTCCATTCTTGCCGTACAACACACAAACATTAAAAAACGGCTAAAAGTGAGGGACAGCCATGGTATTTCTCAGTGTTCTTGAATTTTAATTTGTGTCATTGATGCCCGTAGTCAGGTTAGTTCACAGGACTGCTAACGAGCCAGACGAGCACTGTTTGAGTTCCTGGGAGAACAGAACAAAAGCTACACTTCAGACAACGATGTTGGCCAGTACAGTTGTCATCAGAAGAACAGGGTTGCGCTGAATCACAAGGCCAAAGCAGACCAACATTCCCCTGGTAAGCAGATCTCTTCAAGGGCTATCTCTATCAGAGTATTAAAGTAAGTCTCTAGCCCCTTCCTCTGCTCCACCCCATCCTCCCACCGGGTCCTCCTAAAAAGAACAATACCTCCACGAAAGAAATCTTTCTCCCTAATTCTCAGACACAAGGGAACTTGTCCGACCTTGGAAATCTCCCTAAAGTGTTTAAAACAAAAACCAGCTATGGAGGCCTCTGTACAAAACAGAATTCTTGTTTATGCCCATACTTCATTTTGGAAGGAGAGGAGTGCTAGGAACAATACCTATTACATCCTAGAACTTAGCCATTAAAGTGTAAGGGGGGAGGGGCATGTTTTAAAGGCATATACCTAAAGAAAAAAAGTAGAAAAGGCAATGTAGGGCAGCCCACGACAGCAATTAAGGTTTTTTATCCCTGAGTGGATAATATGTGGTTTCATTTAAATAAGAACACAATCTCCATTAACTTAATTTGTAGAAGCACTAACTCCAGCACTCCCAGCTAGTGCCCTCGTAAGGCATTTTTAGACGCATCATTGCTAATTCGAAATTAAAAGTGAATCATTCCTGTGGAGTTAATTACCAGTAAATATAACCTAAAATAGGTCTCCCACATGGCACTGAGCCAGCATAAGATGGTTCTCGGTGTCAGCCAGAAACATTGCAAGAAATCAGGTACTTGAAAAACTAAGTTTACACATGTGGCAAATGTTTATAGGAATGACAGATGAATCGTTTGCAGCATCCACAATGAGAACAAGGATAAAGGTCTAATTACAAGACCTTTTTGATAGACATTTAGAAAAGAGCCCCGGCATCTCCCCACCCCAAAAAAGGAAACTCCTCAGCTCTCTGTTGTTGTTGCACCTTATTCCCCAATTAATTATGCTTACAGAAAGGAAATTGTCCCTATTTCTTTTTAATGCTGGCATATGGACCCTATTTAAATATACAACATAGAAATAATTTTAGAAACCAAAAATGAAATTAAACAAAGCCAGAAGAAAGAAGTTACTTTCATCACTAGCGCTTTGGAACACAGTGTCTTCGTTATAGTGTTCTCAAGGAGGTATGCACAAAGACCAGAGACGGAAGAAAAACACTCAGAAGAATGGTTGTCTGAACTTTAATTAAATATTTGAATCAAGGAAAATGGGAACAGATGAAACCCTAGTAAGAGAGAAATTATGCATGCGCAAAGGGGATAGATTAATAAAATGACTGCTGATCCATTACTTGTGATGAACATATTTGCTTTGTTTTGTTTTACTACAAACATGTTGAAGTTTCCTGCAGCTTCCATAATTATTCAAATGCATAAGTGTTGCCACTCTCCTGGCCTACAAGGTCCAGGAGGGCAACAAAGCAATTACACAGTTAATTGAGGCTGGGTGGTTAGCAAGATTTGATGTAGTTAGCAATCACACTGATGATAGATGATTATTGAAAATTACTTTCTTCCCATCTTAATTTATAAAGTGATTTCACACGATTGTGTATTTCAACTATTTCTAAATAAATTGAGTAAACCAAAGACAGAAAGGACAAACCTCAAATCAGACATTTTAGAACAGACTCCCATTTGAACTGTTAGATATATATAACCAAGTTTGTTACACCTCTTTTAACAGACACCATATTAATGTTGTGTCACGGTAATATATACGAACTACATAAAAAACAGTGTTGCTTTCTAACATGTGGCTTGTCTAAACCCTAAAAGAGCACAGATGGCTTTGCAGAGCCAAACAATATTATTGATCCATCTTGACTGTGGCTCCATTTGCAAGATAAAGTCCCAACTGGGAGTTTTCTCATAAATTGGGTCAAGACAAGAAGAACTCTAGGTAGCCAGAGGTGTCTCTGTGTCTCTTTTCAAATAATTGCAGGCCACTTCTTCTGGTGTCTGGAAGAAGTAAAACGCCCTTGTCTAATGGGTATTGCTTTAGTATACCACATGCCCAGTAAGTTCTAGCATCTAGGAGCATGCAATAGCAGCTAATAGTAGCTATGCAGTCATGGTATTGTTAGTGTTTAATTATATCATGTGCATTGAGATATTTTAAATGTTAAAGAGAAAACAGAAGGATTTATTCTTCTTAGCAACCAATATAGTACAGAATGTTCACAGCTATGATCGCACTCATAAGGCAAGTAAATTGATTACAAAATGAGGGTAGCAACAAGTTGGCATGCTATATAAAACGTGAAACTGGTACCTAAAATAGATAACCCTCCTATTTGTTTTCAAAGTTCCATTGCTGGCTCAGACCATCAATCACCACAATGGAAATTTTTCATTTTAACACTCAATGCCAATTTTCAGTCTTAGAAGTGCAAAAAGGAGTGTAAAATAATAAATCTGGTTCCCCCCTCCCCCCCCACTGGCTAAGGTTCTATCTCATTCGGGAATGATTTTGCTTTATCAACATCCTTTTAAGAATAAGGGGCTTGAGGTCTTAATGGCAACTCATACTGGTGCGCACATCTGTGGCTTCATTCTTTAGGTTAATATACAAAAGCTAACTATAACAGAAGCATCATCAAAGATAGGTTACTTTCTAAAATACTTAAATATTATTTCTTTCATCAATAGTATTTCTTTTGGCTCATGCACACTCAAGGCGCTTCATATATATCATAAGACGATGAAGGTGAGAATGGTAATACGTTATCAAAGCTCTTTCAAAAACAGAGTTGAAATAAATTAACCGGGTTTTTTTGTGTCAGTTGGCAAGTTCTTGAAGTTTGACTTTAGGATTTGACCGGTGTTTTGACTTTAGGGTTTCTCTAAAACACAGAAACAAAGAGTAAAAGTCAACCGGCCAAAAATGACTTCAAGGACCCCATTTAGGGAGAGACCTTGGTTCAGGCATCCCATGGGGTCGAAGGCGAAATCTTCGCACCAATTTCCCGGTCTCCGCCGCAGGAGTCTTCGTTTGGGCAGGGAATGCTCCGCCAGGGCTGGAGGCGAGGTGACCAAGGACGCTGAATCCGGAACCTCCGCTTCCCTCGGGCCCTGGCCGGGTCACCAGTGCTGGCCGGCGGCGCGGGTGCCCAGTTGCGCCTGGGACACGGCGGGCACAGCAGTGGCGGCAGCGGCGGCAGCCGCCGCGTCACCGACGCCGGGCAGGACAGAGCGCACGGAGCGGCGGAATTCCTCGTTCCTCCACGTGTAGAGCAGCGGGTTGAGCGCCGACAGGGCGCAGCACAGGAGCCAGCTGGCCGCCTGCACGCCCCAGGGCACGGGCAGGGAGAAGCCGCTGGCCAGGCTCACCCACACCAGCGGCTGCGTGGCCAGCAGGAAGACGCAACAGAGCAGCAGCACCGACAGGCCGCTGAGCCGCCGCTGCGCCCGCCGCGGGTGCAGCGCGGGCGGCAGGGGCTGGGCCTGCGCCTGGTGCGCCGCGCCCCCGGGGCCCGGCGCGTGCGGAGCCCCGGGGAAGGCGGCGGCGGCGGCTGCGCAGCCGGGCAGCTGGTGCAGCAGGTGGAAGTTGAGGACGCTGACCCGCTTGACACTGACGCGCACGCGGCGCACGATGCCCAGGTAGCAGTGCAGCAGCAGCGCCGTCTGCGCCAGCAGCGCCGCGGCTGCCAGCAGCGCCGGGTAGTGGACGCGCGGGGGCGCGGCGCCGGGGCGCGGGGCCCAGGGCGGGAGCAGCAGCACGAGGCCCAAGGCGAGCGCCCAGGACAGCGCCAGCATGCCCGCCGTGTGGCGCCGCTGGTACAGCGCCTGGTAGGTGGCGGGCGCCCGGGTGATGAGCAGGTAGCGGTTCAGAGCCACCAGGCAGTGGGACAGGAGGGACACGGTGAGCCCAAGGCCTAGCAGCCCGCCGCGCAGGAGGCGATAGCTGCCCCCCGCGCCGTCCCAGTCCCCGGGGGGCTCCGCGGAGCCGGCAGGCAGGAGCCCGAGCACCGCCTCCTGCGGCATCCAAAGGGCGCAGACGCTGAGGTCGGCGGCGCAGCCGTTCACAATAAAGGCGTTGCTGGTGGTCTGCAGCTTTCGGAAGGACGACACTAGATAGATGACCATGCCGTTGGCCAGCGTGCCCCCGATGGCCAGACCCGAGTACAGGAGAGACACGGGAATGCGCCGGCCCGCCCACGACTCCTCTTCCTCGCAAAGCAGCAGCAGCGATCCCCCGGTGGTGGAGGAGGTGGACGTGGAGGAGGAGTTGGTCATTCTGGCCAACTCTTCACACCTCGCTCGCTAGCGACGGCTTCTCGAAGCGCGGCCCATCCTGACACCCGCCTGCAAAGAGGGCAAAGACATCCCTTCAGCCTTCTGCCACCGACACAAAAGTAGAATAATGGGCTGGGGGAGGGGGGAGAGGGAGCTCGAGGAGAACAACGGGGGTGGCAGATGACAGGTGCTTGCCTCGGAAATGTCTCTAGTGCCAGGGGAAAGGCCTCTTTGCCTTCAGCAGGCACCAAGGAAGCCCTAGGACAGAGCAATGTCAAGAACAGTCTCCTCTTCTCCCCCGACACACACAAATATACACACAGTTGAAATATTGCCAGATGGAGCCCCTAGTTTCCAGGAAAAAGCAGAGATGTCCCACTTGGGAAAAATCCCAGGGGAAAGGGGTTGGGGGAACCTTACTTTGGGGCTGGTCCGTAGCTGGCGGTAGCAGAGGGTGGGATGCCAGGAAATACCTCCTCAGCAGCAGCATCAGTGGTCCCGAAATCAACAGGAGAAACTCAGCTGGGATCGGTGCCAGGAGCAAGTGCCTGCTTCTCCCCAGCAGCATCCGCACACATGGTCCTAGGCACAAACCAGCAGCTGCAGGGAGACTTCTCAGCTGGCAGCAAGGCTGGGGAAAGTAAAGTGGCGGGCTGCAAGCCCCAGACGGGTGGGCAGGCAGGCAGGCAGGCAGGCAGCAGCAGCAGCAAGGATGCTCGGCTGCAAAAGCAGAAGCTGAGCTCCAGAGGAGAGCACCCTGTGCTCAGAAGCAAGAGTGGTGGCTGATGTGGTGAACCCACTCGAAGCTCTCTCCTGCTCAGTTATACATCACCCAGGGAAAAGGCAGCCTTTCCAGGCTTGGCATGAATTATTCAATAGCTTCTAACTTGTGAAAGGAAGAAAAATATCTTGCTCAGAAAATCCTGTAATTAACAAGTTTCTCTCTCCTCTTTTTCTCTTTCTTTCAATCACCTTATTTTCACCCTGCTTCATTTTTCTTTCCTTCCTTTTTTTCCTCCTATCAACATTAGAATAAAATTTAATATAGTCCCAATGTATTTCATTCCAGTCAAATGCATTCTGGAGGCAAGATTTTTCTGAGGGATGATATGCTCCCAATACCCCGGACTGATCTCTTTCATCCCACATTTTCACAGAGAATTAATTTATATTCTAATTGATATTCATCTTTTTTTTGGTAAGGTGGGACATGAGTAATTATCCACAGAAAATCCCCAAATCTCAATTTAAATCATAATTTCTATTTTTTCTTATCACCAAACTCCTTTCCAGAGTTTGGCTTGTGTTTCAGTAATGAAATGGTCAGAGGGTACAAACAAAATGGTCAGAATGTGAAAAGCGAGTGTCAGGAAGGAAGCAAAGGACATGCATTATCCACAGTGTAAACAACAAAGATAGCTCTTCCCTTCAGAACTCGATCTTGTGGTCTTTCTTAGATAGCAATTTGCAGTCTAATGTTGGAATCTGCTTTGGTGCAAGCATTCATTTGTCCATTCCACATGGGAAACTTTTCATAAAGTCACCTCCCCAATAAATCATTTTTCACTAGAAAAATCAGTTCTTTGAAATGTTAACTCAATATGGTATGGTAACAGGGCATAAAGGGAAGAATGCTAGGTGGGGTTTCAGGACACTTGGGTTCTCAGCTGAGCATCCACCAACTGGCCTTATGATGGATCATTCTCATCTTGTCAAATAAGAAGTTTCCACTCAGTGACATCCAAGGCCCTTTCTGTTCAAGCTGTCTATGCATCCCCACACATAAATGTAACATTTCTCTTCCCGAGTGCTGCCCCTTGAATATACCTACACTATCTAATGTGTAATGTAGTCCTGGGTCATATGGCGGGAGTCCTGTCCAGTCTGTCCCTAAGGGTGACATCTCAGGATGAAGTGCAAAATGCACGTCCTCTGCTTTCCTCTCTCTCTTTCAAAAATAGTTTTTGTTAATGACCGTGAAGACCTCTACTGGAGGTAGGGCTAAGCATCACTTGCTGGACTAAGGTCCACTTAGGCAGTATCTAAACAGAATTAGTCAAGTTGGGACATGAAAAGGAAGAACCAGAAATTTGCTCTTCAGAGGACTGAGGGTCAGATAGCAAGTTTATTGATGTTAAGGAGACTTGCCATCGTCCTTTGCCTGCTGTCATTTGTCTGTACTGAGGCTTTGAATCCATCAAGCACAGCAAGGCTGCAAGAGATTCCTTTAATGATTTGTAGTTAAAACTTGTTAAAATAAAAATTTTCCTCTCACATCAGGAGGTATTCGAGTTCCAGGTCCTTGGTTCCAGCTGCCGCCTTGTGTGTTGCCTGTAGGAAAGAGCAGAGTCCCTGCTGAGGGACCCCAGTGCCTTGTAGTCACACACACTCCTGCCAAGACCATGCCCTCTTTAGCCTTGGCCTGGCAGCGGCCAAATTTTTGTTTGGTTTTGGTTTGTTTTTGTTTAGGATTTAATTGTGTTTTTGTTTTAAGCTACTGAACTTACATAATATAGGGTAAGGGTTTTTCTATCTTGCTCCCAACACCAGAAGAGTGCCTGGCACGTAGAAGAAACTCAATAAATATTTGTTAAATCAATGAATAGATGGCTGTGTAAATGATTTCATTTGTTTTTTTCCATGGTGAAACAGTGATTTTGCTTAGCACCACTTCCCTCCTTCCCCCATCAGGAACTTGCTCCATCAACCACCCCTTCGGATGCATCTCCAGTCGCTCTGCTCTCCACTGCTTGCTCTCCCTTGGCCTTACAAAAATGCTGATTTCACCACAACCTAATAAAAACTTTCCCCGCACCTCCCCCTCCTTCTCTAGCTGCCTCATGTAGTTCACTCTCTTTCCTGGAGGAAGTGCTCCAGTTTCTGCTTCTACTTCCTTTCCTCCCCGAATGCCCACCCCATGCTGCTTTTGGCAGTTACCCCCGAGACACTTTCCAACTGGCCAAAGGCCCACCCATATATAAAATTGCCTACTGGACAGCTCCACTTTGGTGTTCCGTGGGCATCTCAAACCCTAAATGTCCAAAACCAATCTCCTCATCTTCTTTCCAAACCAGTGCCTCCTTCTCCTACGTTCCAAATCTCAGTGACCGACTGGCATTATCATTTCCTGGTGCCTTAGTCAGAAGCCCAGCTGTCATGCCTGATTCCTTCTTTTCTCACTAACTCCCTATAGCCACCAGTCACCAGGTGTCATCATTCCACCACATTAATGTTTTTTAAATCTGTATACTTATCTCTATTGACTCTGCTGCTGTCGGCATCAGACAACCATCATCTCTTGTCTAAATTATCCCAACAAGCTCCCAACTGACCTCTACTAAAATAGCAATCTTATCTCTCTCCAGCCAAAATGATCTTTCTAAAACCAAAAGACATCACTTGACATGTCAAATATTTTTACTTTTATCTGTTTCCCCTCTCTGCACTCTAATGTACATTACTTGGAAATAGGAGTTTGTTTTGATTACTACTATTATTGGCAGCTCCCAGAACAATGCTGGACACATAATAGACCCTTAATATTTGTCCGAAAAAATAGTGAGCAAATGTTACTATTATGCTTAAAATCTTTCATTAGGTCCCTACTGCCTTCAGGAGAATCATAAGCATCGTCATTGGTAATGTCACTGAGGACATTCCACGTGCACCAAGCATTATTTTGAGTATTTTTCATCTACTGTTTCATTCAGTCCTCATGGCAGGCCTACAAGGTAGCCAGGCTCAGCCCTAAATTTGTAGGCCAGGCAGTCCAGAGGGAAGTCTACAGGTCGTATGTCTTAATATTTTAAAATCATAAATCAAGCTATCAAACTGTTAAATAAAATATGTTCTATTCTCCTAACTTGACAAATATACTTTCATGACAACCAGAAGGCTGGGTTCCAGTTTAGAATTCTCAGATTCCTAGATTGTTTCATGCCACAGGAATGTGACAACTCCGGGAGCTTGCCTCTGGCCCACAGTCCATCTCCCTACACTGTGCTCTCTCATCACATGCCAGAGGGGCCTCATGTTTAACATAGGACACTCCAGCCTGCCCATCCAAGTGTCATCTACCCCCCTGTCATGCAGCCACCCCTTGGTATCATCTCAGACCTGGGGTGGTACCTAGAAGGCATAGTCAGCCATCAGAAGGACAAAGCCAGAGAAGAGATCCATGCAGATCATGGAAGTGTGTTCATGGCCACTGGGCAGGGAATTCTGGGGTCCTGGTAGTGAACATGGTCTAGAAAGGGGATGTGAGCTCTAAGTGACCTTGTCCCCTTGGCTCCATTTAATAGATGAGAAAACTGAGTCACAAAGAGGTTAAACAACCTGCCCAAGATCATACAGCTAGGCGTAACTAGGATTCAAACCCATTACACCATACTCAACCACTACACTGTACTGCCTCCCTTAGTAAAGTTTAATTTCCTTGACATGGATGAGCCACTATGGATTAAGCTGATGTAACAAGGAGATGCAAAATGATAGATGTTCAAAAAAATAAATAATTGATTTCTTTCTCATGGAGGTGAACAAGCAGTCCAGGTGGAAGGCAGATCTACTCCACAAGGTAATCCAGAAACCAAGGTACCTTCTTAGTGTTCCACCGTCCCTTAGGACAATAGTATTCAAAGTGTGGTCTCTGACCAGCAGCAGCAGCATCATTTGGAAACTTGTTAGACATTATTCAGACCCAATGAATCAGAATTTCTGGTGATGGGGCCCAGTGAGCTGTGTTTTAACTAGCCCTCCGGGTGACTCTAATGCATCCTAAAGTTCGAGAACCACTGCCCTAGGATGTTATATTTGTCTATGTGGCCGACATTGTTTCACCACTACTTCGTTCACATTCCAGCTGGCAGAGGTGGGGAAAAAAGAAAGAGGGGCAACCAGCTTCCTTTTTAAGGATGTGAACTGAAAATTTCACTTATCACTTCTGCACACACCTCACACACTCAAAACTTCAGTCACATGGCTGCTCCTTACTGCAATAGAAGCTGAGGCCACTCTGGCTGACTGCTTGCATGCCCTGCTAAAATGCAGGAAGGGCAGGAGAAAGGAGAAATTATTTTTAAATAGATAACAAGCCCCCCCGACACACACACACATCCCTGAGAGGATCCAGTGTGGACTTTCCTAGTACTCAATTTCATAATCCACCAAACATAGTCAAGCGACTGTCTCACATCCTTGGGAAACCAAAGGGTGAGTGGCAGCAGTAAAAAATTGCTCGCTTCCTGTCGCCCTTCCTGTCTGCTGTTAGCCAAGCCGCAGAGCAACCTCACCAAGCACACGAGACTGTCTCAAATCCCATTTCAAATCCCAGCTGTATTTCCTGAGATCTTGGTCTCTCAGAAGTAACACAACTGAGAAACCTGTTGGTATGGGCCTGTTTGGACCGTGGACGAGGTTTTTCAAAGGAACAACAGCACTATGTTGTTTTATAGCCAAATTTAGGAGTAATTCGACTGCATGTGAGCATTTAAAGCTCAGTGGTAGAGGTTTTAGCAATTATGAATTTAGAGAATGATGGAGCTGGAAATGACCTGTAGTTTGTTCTTTCCTGAAGCCCTTTACCTGGGGTACATGAGACCTTGTAATGATGGCTCCCAACCTTTCTCCTGCCCTATCAGACGCGAGGGATTCCCCGGCCTTGCCTCAGCGACAGCGACTCATTACAGTAGTGCTGTCAGGGGAGAGGACCATGGGGCGTGATTCTCAAGTGGGGGCTGTTTTGCCCCCCAGGTACATTTAGCAATGTCTGGAGGCATTTTTGG